CAAGCCACGGTCATCCCCATCTTCAAAAAGGGAGACCCCAGCCTAGTTGAAAATTACAGACCAATCTCTTTATGCTGTGTCACCTGTAAAATCATGGAATCAATTATTAACCAATCCATCATCCTCCACTTAGAAACAAACAACCTACTCTCTAATAAACAATTTGGTTTTAGGAAAAAACTATCATGTAATCTGCAACTCTTACACTGCAAAAACATATGGACTACACAACTCGATCAGGGCAAAGCAATAGACGCAATCTACATAGACTTCTGTAAAGCCTTTGATTCAGTGGTACATGACAAACTACTCCTAAAACTAAAATATTAGGGTATCTCTGGACACCTGCATTACTGGATAGAAGCATTCCTGTCAAACAGACAACAAATGGTCAAAATTTGGAGCGTCCTATCAAATTCTGTACCTGTCAACAGTGATGTCCCCCAAGGCAGTGTTCTAGGACCAACTCTTTTCATACTCTACATAAATGACCTCTGTGATCATATCAAGAGCTACTACATTCTCTTCGCTGATGATGTAAAGCTATTCAACACCATAGACAATACTGCTACCCTTCAAAAAGACCTTGACTATGTATCAGAATGGTCAAACAAATGGCAACTTCAAATCTCAACAAATAAATGATCTGTCCTACATATTGGCAAAATAAATCAGAAAATAAAATATAGGCTGAATAGTCAAGACCTTGTTGATAATCCAAACTCTGTCAAGGACCTTGGAGTACTCATCTCTAATGACCTAAGTGCTAGAGCCCACTGTAACTACATAGCCAAAAAGGCGTTAAGAGTTGTTAACCTAATCTTACGTAGCTTTTTCTCTGGTAATATTACACTACTAACTAGAGCATACAAAACATTTGCTAGACCAATACTCGAATACAGCTCATCAGTCTGGAACCCACATTATGTATCTGATATTAACACAGTTGAGAAAGTCCAGAAATATTTTACAAGAAGAGTTCTCCACTCCTCTACTCATTGTAGAATACCTTATGCCACCAGACTCAAAATTCTAGACCTAGAAAACCTAGAACTATGCCACCTTCGGTCCAATCTAAATATAGTATATAAAATCATACATTGCAGTGTCCTACCTGTCAATGAATACTTCAGCTTCAACCATAACAACACTAGAGCAAACAATAGATACAAACTCAAGGTTAATCGCACCAAACTTGATTGCAAGAAATACGACTTCAGCAACAGAGTGGTCAATGTTTGGAATACTCTACCTGACTCTGTGGTTTTTTTTCCCCAAACCCCAAAAACTTTAACCTTAGACTTTCTACTATTGACCTCACCCCTTTCCTAAGAGGTCTGTAGGGGGCATGCATAAGCGCACTGACGTGTCTACCGTCCCTGTCCTATTGTTTCTTTTATTTTTTTTATTTTTCTTATATTTATCCATGTATTCATAACTATGTTTTTACTCATACCTATTATCTTGTAAGCAACTGACAAATAAAAATAAATAAATAAAAATAAATAAATAAAAACCCCTGCTCAAGCAAGAAACCATATACTTGTCAACTATAAAACGTGTATACAAAATGTGGGAGGAAGCAGGATCAAGGATGACAGTGAATTACGTATCTCAGAGTTGGCTACACCCAGGTAAATATAGGAGGTAGAATGTTAACTTCAAATAAATATTTTTAGTTTTGGGAGTGTGGTTCGAGGCTCATGATTTAATTGGAGTAACTGCCTGAATCTTGACAATACTATTTCAAACAAGTGGTAGTCAAAACCTCCAGTGTTGTAGCATCTAGGACTTTTGGAAGCAAGCTGTTCAACTGATTAATTGTTCTAACTATCAGGAAATTTCTCCTTTGTTCTCTCCTTGATGAGTTTCCATCCATTACTTCCTGACCTGCCTTAAGCTGCTTTGGAGAATAAGTTGGCTCCCTCTTCTTTGTGGCAAGCCCCTTAAATATTGGGACATGGCTATCGTCTCACACACATCCCCAGTCCTTTGTCAGAAGAATAATTTGGGGTTCCAACTCGAGCTGGGGCTGCATAAGAATATTTATTTATTTTTATTGTATTTATTTGTTTGTCAAACATGTACAAGGTAACAAGTATAAATATGAACATAAACAAGAACAAAAGGAGTAAATACAGATAAATGGGGACAGTAAGACAGGGACGGTAGGCACACTGGTGCGCTTATACATGCCCCCTTTAAGGACCACCAAGGTCCACGGTAGACAGTTTGAGGTTGAAGCTGTGAGGGGTTGAGGCTACAACAACGGAGTCGGGTAGGGCATTCCAGGCATTGACCACATTGTTGCTGAAGTCGTATTTTCTACAATCGAGTTTGCATCAGTTTACCTTGAGTTTGTGTCAGTTGTTTGCCTGTGCATTATTGTGATTCAGGCTAAGAAGTTGTTGACAGGCAAGATGTTATAGCAGACAATTTTGTGAACTCTGCTTAGATCGGACCACAGGCTATAAAAATTCTATAAAAATTATAAAAACTATAAAAATTATAAAAATGAGGTATGTCAAACTCCAGTGGGGGTTTGCTGGACCTGGTGGGGGGAGTGGTGGAAGGAAGTTTGGACCATTGAGACTGTGAAGAAAGAAGAAATATTTATTCCTAAAAGCAAAAAGATGGCAGACATATAGCACAAGAGCAGGAACCATGTTCAAGCATCCAACTGACCACAGAGAGAGTTTGGTCTAGTGACTAAGGGACTAGGCTAGGCTAGAAAGTTAGAGATTGTGAGTTCAAGTCCTGCCTCATCCATGAAAGCCAGCTGGTTGACTTTGGGCCAATCACTCAGCCCAACCCACCTCACAGGGTTGTTGTTGTGGGGAAAAACAGGAAGAGGAAGGTGTGTTGGATACATTCGCTGCCTTGAATTATTTGTAAAAATAATATAGACAGGATATAAATAAATATAACTAAATAAATAGCTATATTGCTTATCAACTGGAAAAAGGGAAAGATGGAAAGAAAGTTCTGCAGAAAGGCATTTAAGAAAAATTAATGCAGTTCATCAATGCTCCCAATCTTCATGGACTCCAGGCAGTTGACAGTTGTATGTATGTATGTATGTATGTATGTATTGTATATGTATGTATGTATGTATGTATTGTATATGCCACCATCTCTCTGTCTAGTGAGATTAAAACAGCTATCTGGAAAATATAATTGAAAATTTTATAACAAAAATATTAACAAGGTGTATGGAATAATTAAAAAAATGCACACACACAAACACTTATGAAGTAGGCTGTGGTTTCACAGCCAGTCCCAAGACCTTTTAGGAAAACCAAGTTTTTATTAACTTCTAGACAGCCACACATAGGATTGGCTGGAAGCTGAAATGATGAACTGGAGAGGCTGTGAGATCCTACCCAACCTTGCGGTTGAAAATTCATTTGTTGGTCAACTTTCCTCAAAAACAGTCACTTTCTTAAATGTTTGCAAATTCTTTTTTGCACAGAATCTTATGCAAGGGGCTTTTTTGAGCAATCTGCTGGTCGGAAGTACAACAGAAGGTTTTCCTTTGTGTCACAACCACTGCTGTTTGATTGGAATGACTTGCTGAAAAGAAGACTAAAGGCCCGCTTGTTTATCCCAGCTTGTTTATTATATATTTATTATATATATATTATATTATATAGTCACAGATGTTACAAGTGCAATACAGTAGATGTAAAGCAAGATCCCATCTACTCAAAACGTATTTTAGAAAGCAATCTATCTTATGCATGGGTAACAACCTTTGGCCCATGAAAAATAAATACACTAAGTTGATAGACGTGCATCATAATTAATAATCATAAGCTCAATGCACGTGTCTACCCCTTAGTGCCAGCTACCCCACTGATCAAAATTTACAACATCTAAAGACATGTGTGCTCACTCACTCACTCTGTGGCTATGGCAACACTTTTTCTTGTTTTTCAGGGGAAAAAAACAATTTTAATGTTGTAACTACAATAAAAAAATCAGATGAAAACTAAACAGTAGTTAGACACATGCAAAAAGAATAAAATATACTGTCATATATTTATAAATTACAATCCCAATGAAATTAGTCATATATAATAAACTAATCATAAAATCTAAACCTACCATGTAGTTTCATTAACATATTGAACCCAAACTAACCAAAGGAGCTAAACCACAGACAAATAACACCCCTCAAACAAAATACTAAATGGAAGTGAAAACTCAGCAGACTTTGAATGTAGGAAAAATACTACTTATCAGGACTTAAAATGGCCAAGAATGGTGCATGAATGCCATTCTTACAACATACTTAATTCAATTCAAAATAGCTTGTACCACCTTGATTCAATTGATTAGACCAGTGGTAGTCAACCTGGTCCCTACCGCCCACTAGTGGGCATTCCAGCTTTCATGGTGGGCAATAGGGATTTTGTCCCCTACTGCAGTGGTCCCCAACCACCGGGCCCCGGACCGATACCGGTCCGTGGATCATTTTTTACTGGGCCGCAAAGAAGTGGGCGCTGCCATCTTGTTTCGACGGCGCTTGAGAAAGTGCTTCCGGGTGAGCTTGTCGGTCGTCAGTTGGAAAGTGGCATTTGGGTGCTGAAGGAATCCTTGCGCCTTAGTTTCGTTGGGGGGGGGGCTTTGAACGAAGAGCCGTCCCGATGGCGATGGAGTCTCGCGTTAGGAGGAGATTAAGAAAGAGCCCGAAAAGCCCATCGACAAAGGTACAAAGGAGGAGTTGAAGGTGGCTGGGAGAAGCGGGGGACAGCTGGCTGGCCGGTTGCTCAGCTCTCCTTGCCTTGGTCGTGCGTGCTGATGCCGGTACCGGGCCGTGGATCATTTTGTGATGCTGGTACCGGGCCGTGGGACAAAAAAGGTTGGGGGCCACTGCCCTACTGTATAAATCACCATTACTGTGGAACCGGTGGGCGGTTAGAGAAAATTTTACGACTAACAGAGATACAAAAGTTGGCGGTAGGTATAAAAAGGTTGACTACCCCTGGATTAGACAATAAGAGACTCTGTAGAAAAAATTGCAAGTCATTAGTGCTAAATTCTATGCCCAATTATAATTATATAACTATTGTAGAATTGTAATAACCATGTGCTATTCTTATGTTCTAAACACTTCTCTCCCCTGTAAGATTGGTCAAGAAGTAGAAAAAGGATCATACTCTCTGAACACAAGAGCTGCAAGGGATCACTAGACATCATTTGCAATAACTCTTCCAAAAACAGAGGTCGTCAGGTGATCCTTTTTAGATCCTTTCAAGTTCTTTTTAGTGATGGTAGCAAAGATGGAGCGATAAATTCCTCCGTTTCTTCCTCACTGGATTTTTTTCTTTGTGCTCTCAGAACAACGAATCAGAAGCAAATCTTTACTGGGTCTCGGAGGAATTGCAGGTTTGGGTTCATCGTTTTCATTTTTTTCCTCTGTATAAAATAAAATGGAGGGGAGGGGAAAACAGCCTTGAGATGATACAGCAAAACTTTTTACATCATTCCAAACTGATTTCCTGATTTGTGATGGAGAAAAGCAAGACCTTCTTTCTTTCAGATCTGGCATCTATAAAGGTGCAACCCTGAGGCCCTTGGAGAATTAATATTCATAGGCTTAATTTGCCACAATATTAGAGTAGGCTAATAATTGTGTTGCCTATCATGTCAGGTCAAATATTCCATGAAAATATTCCATATGAAGACATTTGTATCAATAAAAGGAGAGGAAAGAATCTGCTTAGCCAGAGTTAAATGTTTGAGTTAATGTTTGCCAACCTTGGCAACTTGAAGATGAGTGGACTTCAAATCCCAAAATTCCCTGGCTGGTGATTTGTGCCCAATGCCTAGTGTCATGTCGTTTGAGTTGGGCAGCCATGTTAAAAAGAGGAAATAATCAAAACTCAGAAGAAACCAAATTTACCAAGGCTTGGAACAATGTTTCTTAACTTTGGCAACTTGAAGATGATGGAGAATCCCCTAGCCAGAATCCCCTAGCCAGCAAATCACCAGCTGGGGAATTCTGGGAGTTGAAGTCCTACCCCTCTTCAAGTTGCCAAGCTGGATAAACATTGGCTTAGGTGGTCAGAGAAGGCCATTTTGTGCCTTGTCACTTTTACATATTTAACCAAATTAGAGATTTTGGAAGGACATTTTTCCGAAGCTCCCACACTTACCGATAATATTGGTTTTGCCCAAGAATTTGTTCTTCAGCTTCTTTCTGCTTTGCATGTATTTCACGCTGTTCCGCCTATACGTCTCCTGGCTAATCTGCTTGCGACTTTGCTTGTGGATGCTCTTGATGTTGCTGATGCTGGACCTGCCCGGTCATCCAAAGGAAAGGAAAATCATCAATGAAACTATAAGCACACAAATAACAATGCTAGACTCTGCTAAGGCAGGTTCCTCCAACCTAGCATTTTCCTTGTGTATGGATTAATATTCTCAATGTTTCCAAGTGGAGTAACTCCCACATATTTTCCTATAAAAAACCCCATGGTTCCATTGGCTAGGGATGATTTGATCTGGATCTTGCATTGAGCAAAATGTCAGATTCTTTGGCTGCTTCATCCCAGTTTTTTTTTATTATGGGATTTTATGCAATTGGCTAATTTCCCAGGCTTAAAATCTCATATTTTCTTTGACCCGAGAAAATATGAATCTTGCTGACTTCCTGCTGAATTAACCAGCATTTATCTGAGCCCGTGGTTCAGAGATTAGTCTTGACAAGGACATGACAATGTCTACTTATGGCCAAAAGGCCAAAGTAAAATAATTCTTGATTTACATTTACATCTAGGGGCTCCAAATTGATTCTAAAGAGAACTCTCTTCATTTTGTCCTCACAAGAACCTGTGAGGTAGGCTAGGCTGACAGCCCAAAATCTCCCAGTGAGTTTCCAAGGCTGAGGATGGACTTGAAGTTTGGTTTCACCCATCTTAATTCAACACTTCAAAACAAACAAATGAACTTCCAGAGAGGCCAACTATACCTTCGAGGGGGTGCTGCTTTATTCCTCAGCGGGTTGTTCTCGGTCATGTTTTCCTCTCCTACTTTCTGCAGATACATTGAAGGATAGTAGCCTGTGATCTCATCCTTCCTAAGATTTAAGAAGACCATTTCATTGAGGCATAAAAATAAACAAACAGAGATAGCTTGAACTTTGGTCGCACTGCATAGCAAGATCCTTCTAAGAAAGATAAAGTCTACATTAAATACTGATGATGTTACCTATTTGGGTAAGAAAATATCTGGAAGTCAAAAACCAAACTCAGAGAGCACCAAAGATTCCACAGTTCAACCCTGATCTACATATATTCTCCTCTATTGGCATATAATGCTGAACAGAATAAGAATATGTCTTAATAAAGAAAATAGGTAGCTATTCGTTCAGTATCAGGCTGGAAGAGGAACAAGTAAAAGAGACAATGATAGTATGGGCTAAAACTTTGGCTATTCAATTGAGTTAGATTAATGGCAGAGCTATGGGATAGAAATTATAAATTAACAATGCAATGTCTACTGCATACAAAGAAAATCTTTATAAAATGTTTGATAGATGGCATTGTCCACCCTCAAGGTTTGCAAAGATGTTTAAGGATAAATCTGCAAAATGTTGGAAATGCCACCAGATACCTGGTTCATACTATCATATGTGGTAGACATGTCAAAAAGCAAAAAAATATTGGACAAAAATACATACATGGCTTGAAAAAATGATAAAACAATATATCGATTTCAAACCAGAGATATTTTTGCTGGGCATTCTACTAGACAGATATAAGAAAGGGAATGTATATCTGATTTTATATGTATTGACTGCAGCGAGAATAGTATTTGCACAACAATGGAAAAGTGAAGAGATCTCAACAGATGAACATGTGATTAGAAAAATATTAGAATGTGCAGAAATGGATAAGCTAACACTTATCATTAAAGAAAAGGAAGAAACTGAATATTTTTTGACTTGAGACTTATTTTATCAATGGTTAACTAACAAAAACAGGAGCTAGAAACAGGGAAATATATGAAAGGATTAGTGATATAAGTAAGATACTTTAACTTGGTTAAATAAATAGTATGATTATTATGGTTTTTAACATTAATATAATTGATATTAATGCAATGAATATTGTTGTAAATACTGTGATTATTATTTCCTAACATGATTTGTCCCCAGACACTGTTCAATTAAAATTGGAATTTTTGTATGTTATAAAATAAAGTAAAAACTTATTACAAAAAAGAAGAAAGAATATGTCATGCTCCAGGGCTATCTCCCACACACTGATTAATTTAGCCCTGAACTTAATACAGTGTTGCAATACATAAATGCTTATCCATAGCTGTCAGCTAAGACTTCCTCTTTTTAACACCTGTCACTTCTGAAGAAGTTTCTTGGATGAGGAATGAAACATCTTCAAAGAAAGCCCAGAAAGTCCTGTTACCTCTTGAAAAAGCCCCTTTGGGACAATCATGACCTGGATGATTGAAAATCTCCATAGACATCTATCACTTCAGATTTTTGAGGGCCTCTTTGGCCTCTATCTGGGTATATATTCTGTGTTGATTGAGACTTACCTTTTAAGCATCACACTGAAAATATAATAATACGTGGACATTGGACAATTACAGTTCTCTCTCTGTCTCCTTGTGTTGTCAAAGGCGTGGGAATCAACCACTGGGTCAGCAATTGGCCTGCAAAATTTCTGTCAAGGGTTTTCCCCAGTCTACCTCAGAATTAATCTAGAACTTCTGCCCACAAGTCATGCCTGTGCCTCTGAGTTATGACTAAAGACGAAAAGACTACACTCACAAGTTTCACCCTAAAGCACTCCAACCCCACTCACAGATGACTTCATATATGGGAGAGAGGAAGAACTCAAAAAACATGACTAGAAACTGGACAGAAACCAAACTGGAGAAAATTGATTTTGACAGATTCATCATAGCAGACTAGGGATTCGAGGATCTTAAAATAATTAGACTGGATTTAGGGCTATGGAGATTTTCAATCAACCAGGTCATGGTTGTCCCAAAAGTGCTTTTTCCAAAAGGGAACTGGACTTTCCTGTGGTGTTTTTTGTTTGTTTGTTTGACTTGTGGCAGAATTCCAAGGTTAATTCCGAGGTAGACTGGGAAAAACCCTTGATAGAAATTTTGCAGGGCTATTGCTTACCCAGTGGTTGATTCCCACGCCTTTGACAATACACGGAGACAGAAAATGAACTGTAATTGTCCAATGTCCACGTATTATTATATTTTCAGTGTGATGCTTAAAAGGCAAGAATAAATACACAGAATAAATACCCAGATAGATCCCCAAAGAGGCCCTCAAACTCTGAAGTGACAAGTGTTCTGCTTCTCATCCAAGAAAGCCGGCATTGATGAGTGTCATTCCCACATTCAGCCGCAGGGGCCTTCAAATGAGGTGTCCTCCAAGCAAGTTAGGACTCTGGCAACTAGATTCCACGGTCAGAATTCTGAAATTTGTCCCGGCGCATTTGCAAGGGAACAATTTGTGAGAAGTTCAAGGACAGAACATCTCCATTGCTTCCATTCTGAAAAGAGTCATGGCTGAATGAAGCCTTACCTGACTACCCACCAACCATCAAGCAGTTTATGGATAACTTCTATGGTTTCTCCTTCCTTCAGGGAAATCTCGTCTTCCTGAGCAGCTGTGTAACCTTTTCGGACAACATGGAGCTCACCTTGCAAGAAGAGAGATTATTTGATTGATTGATCAAATTTATACAGTCACCCATCTTGTAAGAAGTGATTCTGAGTTGAAACTGATATCAGGTGCCCCCAAAAACATTTAACTGCTTTCATTCCTGTTTTAAATCTTGATTTCCCTCAGCTACCCCTTTTACAGATTGGACTGTGGAGGGTGAAAACCTGCTTATGCATTCAAAGCGTGAAAGGCAAAAAAAGGGACGAACTCAAATTAGAGAGATGAAACAAATTCTGAGGTATAATAAATGCTTCCAACTTAATTCATATTTTTTTTATATTTCATTTAAATTAGCTTCAACCAGCAACCTCTTTTAAATGTCTTTTTTTAATGGTGAATATTTTATCAGTTAGTGAGGCATTTTAATGGGAAAATAGGCTAAACAATTTGGATCGTTAATGTGTGTTTTCAAAACAGACTAGATTTCTTTTAGTTAGCCCCGAAAGAAAAAATGCAGGAAGGAAGTTCATTAATGGCAACTTTTTTTTTTTTACAAAAATGCATGATTTTATGTTAAGGAAATGCAATGTTTACAGTAACTTACTGCTGATTCATGCAGCTTAAGTATAACCAGACTTTCCAAAGCCATCCCATTTCACCTTATATTAATTTGATCGTATTTATTTTAAATTTTACTCAATATTGATTAATAAATTGATATTTTCATTGCTTATTGATCACTGAAACACACATACTGTACTATGCGTTGATCATTAATAAATATTGCAGTAAATTTTGCAGATATATCGTAGTATTCTTTATTATTGATTTCTTTCACATATATTACATAAGGTATAATATACATAAAGTGCACTTTTAGAAATCTTACAATGCCATACCTCCCTTTTTTAATCCTCACAACCCTTGGGATAAAGAGTCTTCAGTTCCTTTGTCTAAACCAATTATATTTGCTTTAAATTAAACTAACAAAGGTTTATTATCATTTCTTGTTCTATGGTTGATAGACTGAGCCACATCTGGCTTTGTGTTTTCAGACCAGTCTGGCCTTTGTTGCTGATTATTTTAATATACTACATTAAAATCTGAAAGGAATGAAGCAATGAGGGGACATCCTTCCCATATTTTATAATATGAATACCTAAATCATTTCCTTTTCTTTTTTAATGCAATACAGGTAGGCCTAAACTTATTCGAGCATTTGTTTAACAACTGTTCAAAGTGACAATAGTGTTGAAAAAGTGACGTATGACCAGTCCTCACAGTTATGACCATCCCCACGGTCGCATGATCAAAATTTGGGTGCTGGGCAACCAGCGTGTATAGTTACGGCATCTCAAAATCACCTGACTGCCCTTTGTGGCTTTCACAAAGTCAATGGGGGAAGCTGGATTCATTTTAACAACTGTGTGATTCACTTAATGACCATAGGAAATCACACAATGCCTGTGGTAAAAGAAGTCATTAAATCAGGTCTGACTCAATAACCGTTCGCTTAGCAACAGAAGCTCCAGTCTTAATTGTGGTCATAAGCTGAGGACTACCTCTACCTTCTAGAGCTAAACTTGGGCCTTGCTCTGCATGGGGACCTCTTCAAATCCAACAGTAAAGTTCCTTTACCTGCATAGTTGGGCTCCTGTTCTTCAGCTTCATCTGGACTATCCATTGGTTCTAGATAAGCAGCTGGTACCCAACCTCGTTTATTCTTTTGCTGACAAAACCACCATCCTGAAATGAATGACCAAAAAGAAGGGTGGGTTGTTGTTTTTCCCCACTGAGCAAAAGACCCAATTCGACGCAAGATGAGGGGGGTGGAAATGTCGCCAGCTATTTTCTTACCACTCTCGCTCTTCTCCACCACGTCTACTATGTCCCCCACCTTCATGGCCATCTCAGTGCTGGAGTTCTTCTCATAGTCAGCAATCACACGGTAGGTCTGTAGGATGATTGGGCCCGTGATGTCTACAGAAAAGGAGAAACTTTTGCCATGAGAAACCCGGAGGACTCAGTTGTAACCAACATTTAACGGAATGAGGTTAGCCATGAGCTATTAAAAAGGGAAATGGGATCATCTCTGGTTTGTGTCCATCTTCCCCTCTTTTCTCCCTGTCCCCTTTTTCTTGCCACAGTTGTAAACCTGAGAGCGGGGACTGTCTTTTTGCAAGGGGGTAATCCCAGTTTATTTATTTAGTTTATTTACCACAATATATGTTATTTTGTGCCACTTCAATTAAAAAGGGGGAATCTAAACAGCTTACTTGGTATGAAGATATTATTTCCAGAAACGAAGAGATAATTTCTAGAATTAGTAAAATAGGAGATTTCGTGTAACCTAAAAGCTAGACTTGAACATTGAGAGCTTTCATTTGTCAAAGTTTTTCCCCAATGCTATTCTTCTTTAAATACAAGTGTCTAGTCCTCAGGATAAACTATGAATTAAAACTTCTTGAAAGAAATAATAAAATCCTGCAGGAAGGGCAGCCTTAGAGATAGGAATCCTCCATTGGAACAGATCAAAGAGCTATCTAATCTGGTATTCTGTTTTACCTCACAGTGGGCACCGGATGCCTTAGGGAGCCGAGATTTAATGCAGAAACATCCTAGCACCCTTTCATTCTCAACACAGATGCAACTGACTCAGGAACATCGACTTACCTGTTGCAATCTTCTTTGAATCATATGGCATCATGAATGTTTCTGGTTTCTTGGGGCTGCAGGGAGTAAGGAACAGACTTGTTACTATCTCAAGCATCACTGATTGGCCAGCAATGTAAATGCCTTCAGCAAACCACTGAATTATTCCTTATTCCTCAGCTGGCCTCTGAGCCTGGTGAAGGTGTAGTGAGGTTGATCGAATTCTATGCTTTGATCCAGGGAGTTTCAAAGAGAGTCCTGTAGAATCTTGAGGGTTTCTGAGAATTTGATGGGGTTTTGTAAAACATTAAGTGGGGGAACATTCGTTTAAATGCATCCAAAGTTGCTAACTGCAATGTGTTCTAAGATACCATATAAAGGATGGAGCTGACATTTAAAAGCCCCTACCCTGCAAGGCAACGTTTCTCAATCTTGCCAACTTTAAAATATGTGGGCTTCAACAAGCAGAATTCCCCAGCCAGCATCAAGAGCATACTTCAGAGCAATTTATGCATTAATAAAAAAAATAACTGACCATCCTAGGGAAATCTACACATATGGTGGCTAACAGTTGACCTTGACTTGATGAGCATATGATCAAGAAAACAACTGAGGATTTATACAAGGGAAAGCTCTCTGGCTGCTAAGCCATCATTCTATTTGCATTAAAAATCACATTGCAAGCAGTGTGATACACTCTCCCATAAATTTGCAATAAGATTCTTCCTCAAAGTCTTTAGATCATGGTCAGTGGCTGCAGCAGTAGCTGAAGAAAGGAAGAAGAAGTGGTAAGTTCTAAACAAAATGCAAAACTTTCAAAATTGTAGGTGGGTAGTTCCATAATGCTACTGTTTCCCCCTCACTTGCCAGTCACTTTGCACCATACAAGAGGAAATATCCAAGCTCTTTGAGACTTTGTATTTCCACTAGTTGCTGGCTAAGAAAAGAAAACAGCAGGATCCTTGGGCATGTTGCTCTTTATCAACTGAGCTTCCAATTGATAAAGTACAAATTCCAGGTGGGCCAAAAGTTTCAGTCTTTTGATTATATTTGGAGAGGAATCTGGAGATGTGAAGGAGCGAAATACAGAGACATAAGGGCATCTATTTTTCCCCTCTTAAGCCCCAAACATGGTGGATTGTGGCCATCTGGTGCAGCCTCTCAAACTAATAAAAGAAAATTCAGGATCTGGAGAAAGAATGAGGCAATACATTTGCAGAAATAATTTGCCCAGAAGCTCTGCAGAACTACACTCTTGCATCACACACAGACAAAAAAGTGGATTTTTTTGTTTCATTTTTGCAATTCTGGCTTCGCTGCAGGACTTCCCAAAATAAATGTCCTCAGACTCTGAGATTGCAAAGCGCTGGGCCATTTCATGTGGCGCTTACCCCCACTAAGGGTTAGGTAGATTGTATATAAAATAAAAATCCTTTATTTGGGCAAGACTTTGTTTGAATAGAGCCACCTGCCAGCTTCGATTGTGTTTCTGGCAATGAATAACTTTTAGGGAATTTCCTTCCTTGTTATCCTCCTTATCTCCTCCAGCAATGTTCCTATCTAAATCTGCAGAGGTTGTTGCATTGTCCAGAAAAACCACTTGGTAACACACAGGGCAAACATGGATGCCAATAATGTCAATGCCAGGGTCACAATAAGAAAGAAACCATTCCCTATTGTAGTTCTAGTTTCCATTTAAATCTATACCTGCAGTCATGCATTATGTAGTTTTCTTTGTTTTGGGCTTACTGTGCTGCATGAATTCAATCATTTCATTTTGCATATAGTACATGTATAATCTGGGACGCAGCCATGATTGTAAGCCACTGTGAGTGGCTTACCATATTTATCAAGCAACTGTGGTTGATTCTATAAGCAATGGTTGCACAAAACATGGATGGTCCCAATCTACATCTTCCAGAGCCTGGCCAATACTCACTGGTTTGCCGTAGACGGGTTCAAATCTTCTGGTCTGACTTTAAAGAAGTCTAAGACGTGCACACAACGGGAGATCTTGCGTGGAAGATTGATCAAGGCAGAGAAGTACTCGGACAGAGTATTTTGACGGTTTTCAGTGGCGCGTTGGCTGTCAAACCACTTTGGAGCTAGACAGAGAAAGGAAGCAAATACATCTTATCTCAGGTGTGGCTCATTATCCATCTGTTCCAGAATACCCAATTCTAAACTGGTGTATTTCCCCAAAATCCAAGACAGAGATTTTGTTCCACGTTCTCAACTCTTGGACATTTCTCCCTCTTTGTGTGTTTTGAGCTTCCAGCAAGAGAAAAGGAAGGAAAGGAAATGAAAGGAAAGAGGGTAAGCTAAACCCTACAAGGAATGGGTCACCTTTCAGAAATGCCATAATCATATTCTACAATTCAGATTGTGAGTTGAGTGAAATAGAAGATCTTTGAAGACATTAGTCAGACCTGCCTCGAATTGGTCCTTTAGTTAAGAAAGACCCTCAACTCCATTTGTAGTGAAAGATATCTCTGAAAATAAGACCGGGTCTCATATTAATTTTTGCTCCAAAAGACGCACTAGGGCTTATTTTCAGGCAATGTCTTATTTTCATGGAAATATGGTACTAAATGCATCCATCTGGCTGACGATCTTAATTGAGGCTTATTTTTGGGGTAGGGCTTATATTACGAACATCCCCAAAAAATCATGCTAGGGTTTATTTTCCAGCTGGGTCTTATTTTCGGGGAAACGGGTTTTTTTACTAAAAGCCAAGTGGATTACAATATAGCAAAGCCAGAACTGAAGTTTGCGCACCAAATCTGTAAATTTAATTTTCCCCTCCTAGATACTTCCCATTGATGGTCCCCATCATCATTCAGTCAATTTTGAAAGAGGTGTTTTTGAAACTGGTCATGCATTCTTCTTCCAGGGTAATGACCTTGAGAACTTGTCTCTAAGAGGCAGGCTTCTTCCCATCAATTTCATCAGTTTCATTTTCCCCTTCCTGTCCGGTTGCCTGCCCCCATAGTTCATGTCAGACTGACAGCTAGAGAATGCAAAATTGCAAAGTTCAAGCATATGATGGCAGCCTGACAACATTCCATTCTCTGGGCAATAAATGCAGCTTGTTTAGCTTGGATTTAGCCTGGTATATGAATTACAGTTCTGGCTTTTATGAATGTTTATGGTGGGTAGGAAGTTGTGTGAACCCAACCAAATGTGGTTAATCAGCAAACCACGATTAAGTAATGGCTTAGAATGATAGTTGAAAGCAGGTCTCAATCAATGCTCTAAGGCAGAACTTCCCAACAATCTGTTCCTGCCAGGAGAGGCTAGAGACAAAGAAAGCAGGAGAAATATGAAGAAGGAGTTCTCATAACTGCTGGGCTGCTATGATAGAATGGATTCAATACAAGGCAGTTTCAAGGCTGCTTGCTTGCAAGCATGGGCCCCAAATTCAGAAGCCACCTATCATCAGCATTGACAATGTATTGGCCACTGGTTATCAGTCACCTGCCTCTGGCCCATAATACAACTTTTCCAGGAGACTTCTACATATCATGTTAGGTTAGTGTGCAAAAACCCAGAACTTGCACACATATGTAATGATTTGATCATTCCTTTCCCAAAATTAGTGTAAATCTGGCCACATCGTGAAAATATCGAAACCTTCAGTTTAAGGAAGCCAGAAAATCTTAAGGAAAGATTTCTTTTGAACCTATCATGGTCTCAGTTCCACTTTAATAAAGTTCCAGAAATCTGGTGGTTGGAAGAAGATCTGGCTTTTAAGATAGAATTTCAGTCACAGGTCAATAATCCAGTAATAACAAAGATAATTTGTTCGTTAAAATAGCTTATGTGTAAGCAAGTGGGAGAATTTTCAGAGATCTGTCCTTTTCAGGATGAAACCACTCAATTTTTTCCATCAGTTTATTGCTGTTATTTTCATGAAATGCTGCTAGTTTTTTTTTTTAATTCAGTGCCTTTATAACTGGGAGCTAGAAAACTTAGGAAACACTACTCAATACCTGGTGTTCCCCAAAGGTGATTTTTCAAGAGACAACTGGGCTTTCTGGTTTTTCTTGGAAGACATTTCACTTCTCACCCAAGAAGCTTCTTGGATGAGAAGTGAAACATCTTCAAAGAAAAACCAGAAAGTCCAGTTGCCTCTTGAAAAATCACCTTTGGGACAACCATGATCTGGATGACTGAGAAACCCTGTAGACAATACCTGTTGTGCCTTCTTTAGTTTTATGAATTTCTCTCTGGTTACAACTGCAGAAAACCAGTGTCATAATTTCCATTATGAAGCAGGACTCAAACCAAAATAGCAATGTTCTAAAGTAAGATTAATACACACACACACACACACACACACACATAAAAGGAAGCCCCTCCCACAAAGCCCATGGAAAATTGAAGGAAACAAGTGGTGTGACCTCTCCCAGTATAGATACTGCACCACTCTGCTGCTGATTGTGGCCTCCCCTCTTCCGTGCTGTCCAACAAACCTTGACAAACCTCAAATTCTCGTGGATGTCTTTGAATATACAAAGAGGCTGTGGGATTCTACTAGCTAGCTGGACTGTTACAGCAACCATACAAGTACTGCCCAAATATCTTGATGGCACCTGGCACATGTATGAAAGAACTTTAGCTGTGTTTTGTTTGCATATGGCTCTGCTTCTATATTGGGGCAAACGCTAATAGAAGGGAATATATGCAGCTCAGGGTTGAACTGTGGAATCCTTGGTGCTCGTTGAACATGGCTGTTTTCTGTAGACATATCAATGAAGACTCAATATCCAAAAGTATCTAAAAAGGTTAAAAGTTAAAGTTGCTCTGATTTAACCTTTTTAGATATTTTCGTGTAGATATTCCATTATCCAACTAGGCAACAACTTCAGTGCTAGATTGGCGCAAGATTAGAACAAATCTTAGACCAAGAAGGGATTTAAGTTTAATGTGCCGCAAATTTCCTTCTTTGTTATGTTTGATCTATAAAACCTGGTGTGTCGGGAAAACAAGCTACAGTCTAAGTTTTGTACCAGATTACAACAACTGTGGAATTTTATATCACTAGGAACTCTAGTGGTTAGAAATGCAGGATTGCAAGCTAACTGCTCACTGCCAGCAGTTCGATCATCACTGCCTCAAAGTTGACTCAGCCTTCCATTGTTCCAAGGTCAGTTCAATGAGGATCCAGATTGTTGGAGGCAATATGCTGATATTTGTCAACTGCTCAGAGAGTGCTGTAAGGCACTATGGAGTGGTACATAAGTCTATTGCTATTGTTATATTGTAATTAAATTTCTTTCTTTTTTTGTTACGCTAATGATAGAATTAGGAGAAGCTATGCAGTAGAAAAATGAATTATATGGACCAGCAGGTAATTCTGTGTTATAAACCTAGCTGATTTCATTTAATCCAGAAGTAGAGAACCTATAGTCCTTAAATGCTTTTAAACTACAATTCCCAGTGACTCCCATCAGAAGTAAACCTGGTTGCAGCTAGAGGGCAAGTTTAGAATGGCCACATGTTGCCTTTGTCCTAGGCAATCAGGAAAGCAGTTAAATTGGTTCATCCACAGATGCTTCATATGAATGCCAAAAACAGTCATGAGCGGGACAAGGAAAACATATTTGAAATTAGCAGGTGGAACTAACCCATGTCAACTTCAACTTTATGCAATTTTGTCACAACTAATTGCAGCTATAGTTAGGTTACTTACATGACAAGTGAGGGATTATTCTATTCTCCGTGTTAATTTCCCCAGATTCAATCGGAAACATTTCCTTCAAAACTTTCTAAGCAAGAGAAAAGAACAAAAGATCAGTTTCAGTCTAGGCCAATTCACTATTAAGTGCTATTATCTAATAAAACTAAAGAAAGTGGGGTTTTTTGCTTCTCCATTGCTTTGACACCAGGAGTGTTGGGGCAGGGAAGGAGTCCTGCCTACTAAATTTCTGCCAGCTTCATAGTTGTAGAAAACTTTCCGGAAATTTAATTGGCAACTTCCTATAAGTTATTGCCTAAAAGGCTACGGGGTGCTCAATTTTTAATAATTTAGCTATAATCTATAGTGATTCAAGACTACTTCTATAAATGAAGAGTGTTGGATATTGACTTCTGACTGGGAAACATTTTCCTTGCCCCATTAGAAGTGTAAAAACCGGTTAGTAAGTTAGCTACAGAAAGTCCCCCAGCTCATGTTTCAAAGCTGAAGGTTCATAGTAACTGATGCTTGATAGCATCATCACGTCCACCACCAAGCATTTCTGATGAGTCCTTATTGCCTGCTCTTTCCCTTGGGTAATCCATTGTCCACAGATTTAGAAACCAATATTCCTTGTTTTAAAAATATAAACAGCAATCCTACATTCTACTGATATAGAAATTGGAGCCTGTAAATAACATGGTGCCTCCGTATTTATGCACACAATTTGCCTAAATCAAAATAAAACGGGGACAAGGATTTGCCCAGGACAGAGCCAGCCCTTTCTTTGGAGTAAAAGGTAGCCCAGTCAATGCTAGAGTTAAGGAGCAGCAAGAAAGATTTAGAAGACTAACTAAGGTGTATATCAGGGGTCTCCAACCTTGGTGACTTTACGACTTGGGGACTTCAACTCCCAGAATTCCTCAGCCAGCTATGGTCCACAAATCGTAAAGTCACCAAGGTTGGAGACCCCTCTGTATATGAATGCCTGGACCATCTATGGTAGCATGTTCACCTCTAGAAGTGCAAGGAATACTTTCTCCCTGCACCACCAGCTTCTGAGAGGGGGACAAGGCTGGGTTCTCACAACCCAAAAATCTCAGGCAAATGAACTACAGCTGCCATGTTCACCAAATGTTGTAGTTTGCCGGCAGCAGGTGCCGACGGCTGAGGTCTCGGACAGCAAGGACTCAGATGAGGGGAAGGGCCTGCATGTGATGCAGGGATGGGCCAGGACCATCAGGGAGTGGAATGCTGCCTTCGGAGATTGTGGAGGCTGGCAGCAGTGATGAAGAGGTCCCCGAGGAGCCTGTGCCCAGTGCGTGTGCGCGCGCGCAGGGCTGCTAGAAGGAAAGAACAGCTGCAGCAGCACAAGTGACTTGGGAGTAAGGCTGCTAGGTAATGGCCACTCCCATTAAGAGATAAAAAGCCAGCTGAGAAACCGGAGTTATTTGCAGGAAGCAAAGAGGTTTTTGCACTCAAGCCTTGTGGACGTTCGGAATCTCTTGGTTGGTATTTGGAGAATCTTTGTCTTTAAATATTTCTTAGTAACTTTATCTAGTGTCCTTGGCAGCCTTGCACCACCTTGGCAAGGCCCGTTCTTATCAGAGATAATTAATTTGAAACAGCCTTTTAACCGTGAAGGAATGGAATTTGTAAAGAATCATTAAAAGGTTTTGCTGTTACCTCTGTTTCGTGTTTGTTTCCTTGGAACAAGGTTTGGGTCAGAACACTAAATATGCACCATTGTATATAATAGAGATCAACATTATTTATTTGAAAAGCTCTGTAACAACAAATATCACTGTAATTTAAAAAAATAACTGTTTGCACATGTCTGGGGAATTCCTGTCCCTTTTCCCACGGTCTACCCTCTGGTTCTGAGATATCTTAAAACAATAGTTGCTCTCACAACATGGAGAAACTGCACGTAAACATTCAGTTTAGTCTAGATTAGCATTGTGGAAAGTCTTATGACCAATATATATATTATTCTTTATACTGTCTTTATCTTTGCTTAAACATTAACAGTGGACTGAGAATCAGTGTCTCCACTAGACAGTTGATAGTCAGGCTGAAACTAAGTTAATCAAGTAAAAATAGCAAACGGGGAAATCTTTTACTCAAACTTCCTCAACCCCTAATTCCTCATAAATTACTCAGACCTAATCTACATATCAAAGGATAAGGTTTGTAAACACAAACACTTAATTAAAACAGTCTCCCAGAGGAGCTGCCTGTTCACAAGAATAAACATTGTAGATGGCACTAAATGTCTATGGAGATGCTCAGTCATCCAGGTCATGGTTGTCCCAAAAGGTGCTTTTTCCAAGAGGCAAGAGGAGTTTCTTGTTTTTTCTTTGAAGATGTTTTGCTTCTCATCCAAGAAGCTTCTTCAGCTCAAAAAAACCCCAGAAAGTCCAGTTGCCTCTTGAAAAAAAGCACATTTGGATCTTAGATGGCATATACTTATGCACACACATGCCCCTCAAATTTCACCCTAGAACCATGATGGCGAACCTATGGCACGCGTGCCAGAAGTGGAACGCAGAGGTCGCCCGGAAGAGCCCCACTGCGCATGCGTACGCCGCCACCTGACAGCTGATTGTTGGGTATCTGGTGCGCATGCATGGGGGTGTGGGAGACGCACGCATGTGCAGAGATGTGCAGTGTATGCGGGGGTATCGTGCACATGCACAGAGATGTGCAGTACATGGGGGATCATGCACACATGTGCAGAGACACACAGTGTACAGGGGGATCATGCATGCATGCACAGAAATGCGTGGTGCACGCAGGGGAGTCACGCACACATGCAGAGGGAGCGTTGGGGGCCAGCACGCATTGCTTCTGGGTGCTGGCATGCGAGCGCACAATTTTGGGCACAGGAGCCAAAAAAAGGTTAGCCACCCCTGCCCTAGAAGCAGGGGTGGGATTCTACCAGTTCGCACCTATTCACTAGAACCAGTTGTTAACATTCTAAGCAGTTCGGAGAAGCGGTTGTTAGAAGAAATTACTGGCCTAATCCTGTAAGGAAGGAAACATTCTGGTGTTGCTTACAGAAACTGCCTCTCCATTAACTCTAATTACATTCTTGGCAGGACTAGACTTCCTGTCTCTGGAACGTCTCTGGAGTTTTGTTCCCCTCCTTGGCTGGTACTTTGCTTGTGTGGAGTGACCATTCAAAGTTACAATGGCACTGAAAAAAGTGACTTATGACCATTTTTTACACTTATGACTGTTGCAGCATCCCCACAGTCATGAGAGGCCAGGTGCCTCGATGTGAGTGATATTGAGTTGGCCACGCCCAGCCAATAACATAACCACCAAGCCATATCCACCCAGTCACATGACCACCAAGCCACGTCCACATAACCGGTTGTTAAAAAAAATTGAATCCCACCCCTGCCTAGAAGCAACACGTATGCACTTCCACACCTAGGATAAACTCCCCTATAAAAACAATCTTGCTGTGTCCCATTTCTCTGCAGCTGCCCCCAAAACAAACCTCTATGCTTTTGGCAATAAACATTCCACCTTTCCTCACAGCTGTCTGGATTTCATTTTTATTTATTCCTGCACAACTCCGGCTCTAGTTGGAACCCCAAATCATTCTTCCAACAGCGTTTTGTGCCAACTCTGCCTCTCACAGCCCTGAAATTGATCTTCCTTTCCTAGGAAAAGGAACCAGGGACAGTCACAGGAAAAGAAAGGGAGTTGAAGCATACAGAATTAAAAAGGCTGTCTTTCTTGAAGTCTAAGAAAGTATCTTCCTAATTCTTTCAAAAATGCACGTACACACTAAAAAAAAAAAACCAGGCTACATTAAAAAAAAAGACAGTAGTAACCAATTGCTTCTTTGTGGGTTTCCTCCACTTTCACAACATGGGAAAGCTTCGTGATTTCATAATCCTGTCCAAATTGGAAGATACAAAAATTCTAACCAGCTGCATTTTAAAGGAAAGAAAAGAAAAGAAAACACAAGACCAATCTTGATATGGGGACTATCCAAAGGAGAAAAAAATCCTCTCCATCTTAACTGCCCGAAGTTATTCTCAGCTGGGCTTACTCAGCAAATGTGTAGGTTAAGCTAAAAAAAAAAAAAAAGTCCCCCTATTAATTTCTACTTTGGAGAGCCAAATATGATGGAATTAAATTGAGGTGGCCTTAAGGATTCTGCCTAAATTTAGGCTCACTTCTCACCAATCAATCAGGACAGAGCCGGTCCTAAGTTTCCTTCCTAAGTTTCCTTCCCACATAGCTCTGGGTATTATGGTTAGTCACACAATCAGCCAGATGTTTCGACTGGATTTGGCATTTTGTCCCCTTATCAAATATTTCCGAAGAACCTGGGATAGATAATGTTTAATAATACTTATGTATGGGGAAATCTGCAGTTAGATTCAAAGCGTTAAGACTGGTGGAAACTTAATTCAAGGCATTATTATTTTCTCAGCCTTCCCCCAAACCTAATCTCATAATAAAACATTCAGGTGGCATAGATAGATCCAATCCATACTTACATGGAACTCATAGATCTCCGTGAACTTCCGATACACAACTTTTTCTGACAGATCTTGCCATTTCACGAGAAACATATAAACCTGAGAAAAGCACAGCATTTAAAATGATTTTCTTTTTCTTTCTTTTTCTTTGGCCTACTGGGTGTATACTGAGACAGTATTCATCCAGAATATAAAATACACAACAATCTTTTCATATGCCCGGAACATGAATTCTTTCCTTCACAATTAAAGGAATGCACAGCACTCCTTTAACTGGCACACTTAATTTATCAACATTCTCATTTTGTGCACTACACTGAAATGGAAGCTAACCAAGTGAGATAAGTTCATGTAGGTTAAGCCATCCAGGCATCTAATTAAGCTTAAAAAGTAACCAAGTTCAGACGCTTGAGTGCAACTGTTGGGTTTTTATCTGGCCAAATTAAGTCTGATTAAGCCTGTTCATCTAAGATTCTTTGAAAAATCCACTCCCTTCCCTATCTTGTACATTCTATTCTGCTCCATTGAACTATCATTGTCTCAGAGATCTTCCTTTAAAGGGAGAGATGAAATGGTAATTTATAAACATCAAACTCAATATTATCTGTCCTGATGTTTACCCTCCTCTCTCCTTCCCTTCTATAACTGTCAAAACTTTGGATTAAACTAGAGACCTTTTAACAGTGGAATGCATGCTTAACCTCTGAATGGAGTCTGTTCTCCAAGACATTTTGAATAACTTTTAAATAATGTTTCTGAGCTATTAAAGGAGTCCATCAGTTTGTTCTACTCCCAGCCCTCCAGAAGTCAAATTCGGCTTCTTAAATCAGGCTGTTGACCTCCAAGTACTTACATAGTGTTGGCTGGGGAAAAATCTCTTCTCAAATCCCAGCAACTCGATATGCCGGATGTAGATGATCGATTCACCCATCTCTGCTGCTGGGAACTATCCTTTAGATTCGTGGTAGCAATGGTCCACCTTGCACTTTTCTCTTGAACGCTTGTGCTGTTCTGACTTCAGCTTTTATATACCACAAAAGGGGGAAGTCCAATTTTCCCATATTGCCTGCCCCAGAATTTTGTTTTGTTTTCTTTTTTTAATATATTTTTATTAAATTTCTTTTGTTACATCATAAAACATCATGATATCAACAACGTTCTTGGCATCTATACAGGTTTTTGGTTTAAATATCATAATACATTGTATTACATTTGTCTACTACTAAATAATAGCTTTAACTATGTTTACTATTCTTATATCTTTATATAATTTACAAAATTTTATTTTACTTTCTTAAGGATTGTTTCAATTAGAATTTTTGTCTCACTTCTTAGTTCTGTTTGTTAGCCATTTATACCAATTGTTCCAAATTGAAAAGAATTCAGAGTCATTTTTGTCTTTCAATTTCATTGTTAGCATATTCATCTCAGCACTTTCCGTTACTTTATGTATTATTAGTTCTTCATTAGGGGTGTTTGGTGTTTTCCATACCTGCGCAAAAGCTATTCTGGAGGCTGTTATAATATGTAACAATAAATATTTTACTTCTTTTGGTAATCTATCTTTGATGATTCCTAAAAGGAAGGTTTCTGGTCTGAGCTCAATCTGATAGATACCCAGTGATCTCTTGTAACCAATTTTTAATTTGGATCCAGTATGTCCTGGCCCCAGGATTTTGTTTTCAATTTCCTTCCTTCTGTGTGATTTCATTTGTTCTTTCGTTGGGCGTTAATTTCTGTTCAGTTGCATCTCTTGGGGATTAAGGCCTCCTCTCAGTCCTGCAAATAGGTTTGAACTACAAAACCCTTTATGGCTCAGCATCAGATTCCTGCAGGGCCATTTATTGCAGTCAGTAGCAGCCTGACCAGTAAGATCTGCCAGGGAAACAGCTGCAGACCTCACACATTGTGGAGGTTCAGGGGCTGAGGTGAGGAAGTGCTACTTTTCTACCCCAACATGGAACATCTGCCCAATAAAGATCAGGCCAACTCCTGCTTTGCTGTTTATTGCAGATGTTTTGAAAGACCAGGTCAGTTTAAAGAAGCTTTCTGTGCTCCGGTGTCACCTTTTAAAAAAATATCTTCATGTGTTTTTATTGTACTGGGAATATTTAAATCGTATTGTCTTCTTCTACATTACCTGTTAAGACTTGTTTTGACTGCAGCAGCACAGAGATATGTCAAATAAACAAGCAGAACAAAATACCTGACTGTACCCAGTGTTCAAATCCAGAAGATTAAGAGATTAACAGAGTTGGAAGAGACCTTGTACTGTAGGTCAGCCCAACCCTTCACCCAAGCAGGAGACCCTACACCATTTCTGACAAATGGCAGTCCAATCTCTTCTTGAAAGCCTCCAGTGATGAAGCTCCCACAACTTCCGAAGGCAACTTCTGTTCCATTGGTTGATTGTTCTCACTGTCAGAAAATTTCTTCTTATTTCCAGGTTGAATCTCTCCTTGTTCAGTTTCCATCCATTATTTCTTGTCTGGCCTTCGGGTGCCTTAGAAAATAGTTTGACCCCTTCCTCTCTGTGGCAGCCCCACATATATTGGAACACTGTTATCATGTCTCCCCTGGTCCTTCTCTTCACTAGACTAGCCAGGCCCAGTTCCTGAAACCGTTCTTCATATGTTTTAGTTTCCAGTCCCCTAATCATCCTGGTTGCTCTTCTCTGCACTCTTTCTAGAGTCTCAACATCTTTTTTATAGTGTGGTGACCAAAACTGGATGCAGTATTCTAGGTGTGGTCTTACTAAGGCTTTATAGAGTGGTATTAGTACCCCACTTGATCTTGATTGTATCCCTGTGTTAATGCAGTTTAGGATTGCATTGGCTTTTTTGGTTCCCGCTACACACTGCTGGCTCATATTTAGTTGGTTGTGCACTAAGACTCCAAGATCCCTCTGAAAATAACTGGCCTGCAATGGGATGGGGGCTGCTACTGATTCGTTTTCAGAAATATATGTTTACTATGGCTACAAAGAGAAATCTGAACGATATGTAGAAGTTTGGGGGGGAAATTGGATTGTCGTCTTTTAATCATGGACTCCTGGGTTCTCTTCTTGCAATCTGGTATTACTTATTCATTTCCCTAATTAGACACACAACTGCAATATACTGGGCAATCTAACATCAGTTCATCTTCAAGCTTCCAATAAATATAATTATGAATACGGCAATCGAGGAAACGCACCATTCCCAAGAGGGGGAAAAGCTTCAAAATAAACCACAAACTTGTTCTGCTTTGAAGTTCCATCTCCATTTGTCTCTCCCAAGTCAGACCAAATGAGAATCAGAGATGAGCGATAGCGGAATAATTCTTTGAAAGCTGACCCTGAGGAGGTTTTGTTCTTGGTTATAACTAGATCAAATTAATTAAGAATCCCCCATTCTCACTTTGCGTTGCACTTGAGCTTTGCTGTTTCCAAAAGCATTTCATCGATGGTCTTATAAAATGGCAAGTGCTAGATTGTTCACAAGATGGCTGCCCAGCCAGTCATGAGATATCCATATTTTGGGCTAGTGCGGTATGATGATTAGCATTCAGGGTTCAGTCTACTGTCAGCCGTGAAGCTTGGTGGATGTTTCTGCTTGGCACTTTGTCTCAATCCATCCTATATAACAGGAGATAACCCATGTACTCCTCTTAAAGCTCTTAGACTGGATATTAATATAAGACAGGAACACTCCTTGTCTTACAATCATTAGTTTAGCAACTGTTCAAAGTTACTATGGCAGTGAAAAAAAGTGACTTATGACTGATCCTCACAGAGATAACTTATGACTGTCACAATATCCCCACAGTCACATAATCAAAATTTGAGCACTTGGCAACGGGCCTGTATTTACGATGGTTGCAATCATTCCAGTTGGCTTCTGACAAGCAAATCCAATGGGGCAATCCAAATTTGATTAACGACCCTGGGATTCACTTAATAAATGTAGTGATTCATTTAGGTTTGCACTGGCTTTTTTGGCTGCCGCTGCACACTGCTGACTCATATTTAACTGGTTGTCCACTAAAACTCAAAGATCCCTCTCACAGTTACTAAGATGTTGAGTGTGATGTCATGGCCCAAGGCCCACCTCTTTTGTATGTGTGTCAACATTCCATGCACCTGCAAATAGAGTGGTGCTTCAATCCCAGAGACACATCTGACCTCTTGTTGATTTTGCTATCTCCCCACTGAGGATGGGTTAGTACTTAAAGGAAGTGATAATAATATTAATAGCAATCATAATATTTTGAAAAGGGACAAAAACAGAACAATGTGTCACAGTCGTGTGATTCTTGGACTTCCCAATCCTAGCTTAAGCCTTCACATGCACTCTGCCAGAAGAAGAAGCAAGTGCAGCATGTAGCACATATGGTAACCATCTTGGCTTTTTTGACCTCATCCTGCTGATATTGTCTTCTCACAATGTTGTGATTGTTTGGTTCTATGCCATCAGGTTGTTTTCAACTTGCACACTGGGAGGAGAATATGGTTTAGGGAATGCTGTCTTGGGTTAAATAGACTTGCAGTAATCTCTCAGCCTGTGAGTTGCAGGAAATTTATGTCCTATCCCCTGGGGGCTGATTGATGGATTGATGAATTTGCAATAGCTGCTCATTTCACATAAAGGACTCTAGGCACCAATTAATATATGGCCCAAACCAGGGACAACTAACCTTAGCAACTTTAAGACTTGTGGACTTCAACTCCCAGAATTTCTCAGCCACTCATGCAAAAGTTGCCGAGAATTGGACTTCCTTGCCCTAAGCCCTCTTTTTGAAGCCTTTTGCTTTAGATAGGATGCATTTGAATTTTTGATTATTTTGTTCTTGTTTTCAATTGGATGTTAACTACCCAGAGTTGCACGGTGAGTGGACACTGATACCAAGTGAAAGGATGGCTGGAAAAATGTCAGCCTTTGAAGGTAGGACACATCAGGAAACAGACATCAGAAGAACTCCTGGTTTTTATTTTATTTTTATAAAGTATAACAACAACAGAATTTTGGAAGGCTGGCAGTGTTTTTTCTTTCCCCTTCTGTGGGCATCTTTTAAAGGAAGTTAAGGTGGAGTTGGTTTAAGCTTCTTTCTACGATCCTTTTCTGTTGACAGCTTGTTTTGCTGTTACAGATTCAGATTAACAGAGTTGGAGCAGGAACCTTGTAGGTCACCTAGTCCAACACCCTCCCCAGGCAGGAAACCCTACACTACTTCAGACAAATGGTTATCCAGTCTCTTCTTAAAAATGTCCAGTGTTGGAGCATTCACAACTTCTGGAGGCAAGTTGTTCTGCTGATTCATTGTTCTAACTGTCAGGAAATTTCTTCTTAGTTCTAGGTTGCTTCTCTCCTTGGTTAGTTTCCATCCATTGCTTCTTGCCCTGCCCTCAGGTGCCTTGGAGAATAGGTTGACCCCCCTCTTCTTTGTGGCAGCCCCTGAGATATTGGAACACTGCTATCATGTCACCCCTAGTCTTTCTTTTCATTAGACTAGACTAGGTGTAGATCCTACACCCTTTACATTTTCTCTGTAGTTGTCTATAATACGGTAAGTGAAATACAACATCTATCAATTGCACTGCCAACTATGATCAATATTTGCTTAGGCTTTCCACATCCAAGAAATTCAAAGGAAAATAAAAAAGGTTAACCTCCCCAATGTTCCCTTCTAAAGAAACCCTAGTCTGATGACTCCGAAGCATTGTTACATCACTGGAAGAAAACACCATCCCAACTGCTAAAAGATTCGCCACTAGTTTTGTATTTTAATGGACAATTCCCTTTGATCGTGCTATGATGGCTGAGGAGGGCTTTTTTTAAAAAAATGATCTAAGCTTTGGGATGATTATTTATTGTGTCCAACTAAGAGTTTAAGATGAGCATTTCTAAAAATCCTAAGAGAAGGATCGGTAAAAGTAATTTCAGGTTTGGAAATTAGCCCTATTCTGGTTTCTTTACTCACCTGTACAGGCTGCTTATACAGGGGGTTCTCATTTCGTGACCGCAATTGGGACCAGCAACTCAG